CCCCAAAACCCCAAAACCCCAAAACCCCATTTGGTTAATATTTTATAAATAAAGGGATTAATTTAAAGTTTTTAATAATTAATTATAATTCTGCTTTGTCACTTGACCTTGTTTCAAAAGCATCTTCTTATATAATAATACATATTTCACCATACCATCATCTTAAAATTTCAAAGAACAAAATGCACATCATTTAAGTCAATAGATTCCCTTATCCTATTAAATTCCAAAACTGAAATCAGCTAGTTTTTATAGTAAATTTTTACATTGTCATTCTATTGACCAGTGGGATTGGCATTAGTGGTATTGGCGTTATTCATTTCATACTATTTGCTTGTATCTGCTGTACTCTGGCCACTATTACAAGCTGCATAAAGATTAGCTGCACACTTGCTTTCATACTATCTAAAGGCAGAGTTGGGACCTCCAATAACAATGTTCTTTTCAGGATCACAGATACCTCCAATCTCTGCTCTCTAGAATTAAGTTACCATTTGTTGATACTTATCATAAATAGCCTAATTGTCCAGGAAGAGAGAGTGCCCATCCAGAGATGGATAAATAGTTCCATACTTAGATGGGTTTGGCTTCTGGTTATAATTAGGATTCTCTGGATCTCTGTAAGGATTATAGAGTTTATGGTCGTTGCCTTAGAGAAGTTAGTCAATATGGTCATGTATTTCAACATCCCAAGAAGTCCACTCAGGCACACCTAAAGGCTGCTTTTCAAACATCATGATATTAACTTCATCATTGAATTTAATTTTCTTTGGATAGTTATCAGAATTACTAATTTCTTAGTCTACTGTTCTACTCTGATTTATTGAATTACTATTCTAGGTTATATGAAAACTAAAATCACTTTGTCTAGCTGTTTGCAGAAGTGAGATATTCTCTGGATCTTCAGTTGCACTTTTTTCATTCTAAGTTAAATCAACCGTTGATATTTATCTTAGCTTTCTCTTTTTGGTATTACACTTTAACGGTTCTCTAAACATACTGGTGCTCCAAGGTCCCCTTATCGGATGCTTTGCTACTTTATGTTTGACATACTAGGGGTTGAATTAGTTGTCCTAGAATATCTCTAGCATAGTCTAATCTGGAACTTGTTAATCTTCGATTATACTCTTCTTTTCCTTTTCTTCTTCTTTTTGCTAGGAATTCTTATCATCTACTGTTCTTGTATTACCACACAGTGCACCACCAAGCTATTTCAAATAGCTGCGACTTACAGCACGTCTTGGCTTTACTTATGATTTAGATGTCTACTCCTATTGGATAGGACTGTTAGCTGGGGATTTAGTTTCACAAATTTGCAAATTTTCACTAGGCTTCAGATTTGCCAATTGCTAGGAATTTTCATCAGACTAGTTTCTAGTAGGGGTCTTTCTATTTGGATATATTATGCTCCAGTCTATATCAAGTGTCTGTTGCATGCTTCCTTTGGTTTTAGAACCAGTTAAATGAGGTGATCTGTATCTGATGTACTCCTTGTAAGGCAAAAAGCCTTAGATCTTAGATTAAGAATTGATTGGAGCTGAATTGTTGTATTTCCATGAGACTTTTGTATCAGTTGATTTTGAATCTATTACCCCCAACATTTTAAAATTTAAATTTTAAATTATTCAATAATTTTGCAATTTATACTATTCGGGGTTTTGGGGTTTTGGGGTTTTGGGG